TCACAACCCATGAGCTTCCTGAGCCTAGCACCCCATCTGGATCTCAGACTGGAGCATCCAGACATTTCAGGTCACCCAGCTGATCACACCAGTATGGACCATCCCAGTGTCAAGGCTCAACTGGACTTCTTCCAAATAACAGCTGCTACCTTCTCTCTGAACTTAGGAGACATGTTAACCAGTGACCAGTTTGATGTGGAGACCCTGACCACCAGGCAAGAATATCATAGCTCTAGGAATTAAGTCAGGCATCAGTAGTCCATATTCTGTTTCATCCATGCAATGAATTCATCTGATGAAGCACTTATACCAACACAGAACCAGGAAATCAGCTCAGGGTCTTAAAGGATTTTCTTTTGGCACACTCAACATTCCATGACTAAATCACCCTGACCTCCTCAGAAACACTACCAAGGGGGTCTCCAGGTGACCCCTAGGATGGCAGCCATCTCCCCTGTACATTGAGGACATATCCCTGTGGACACATATAGGATTAGAGGGCACCAAGTTAATCAACACTGTGGCAACTTTAACCTTAGCTGGATAACATGGATATAGGACACAGTATTCCTGGATGCCTGGGGAAGGGAAGATTGGGTTCCCCAAGCTGAGAATATGTCCTTTATTATCTTCCTTTCAGTCTTTTAGGAGTTGGATTGTGCCCTTCTCAAAGCTGGTACACTAATATTCTACCTCCACTAGTTTAGAGTTTACCTTACTTGGGAGTGAGGTAAGAAGTATGTAACTGATGTTCTTTTAAAAGGGGGAAGTGTGGGGCTGGGTGGACAGCTCAGTCAGCAAAGCACTCACAGGCATGAGGACATGAGTTCAACCCTCCAGAAATATGTTTTAAATGCCAGATGTGGTGGCACATGCTAATAATGCCAGCACTGGGGAAGTGTAGACAGTCAGTTCCCTGGGGCTCACTAGCCAGCCGGCCTGCCCTATTTGAGCAGATCCAGACCAATGAGAGATCCTATCTTATGAAAACAAGGTGATAGTTCCTGAGGAACAGCTAAGACAGCTGGTCTCCACATGTCTATGCATATGTGCACAACACACATGAACACACACACACGCACAGAAAGAATAGAGAGAGAGACTCAGAAATGGACAGACACTTAGCAGGAAGACAGTATGAAGAGCTTGCAGGAGACCTCACGAGAAGAGTAAAACAGAAGGGTACAGTCGCAAGCCAAGCACACTCATAGCCACCAGAATGGAGCACTGGGGCATGCCCCTACTGAAAGAGCAGCCTACCCTCACCTGGACTTCAGACTTCTAGGGTCTAGTAGCACTTTATTTACAGTAGTCCCAGGACACAAATAGTCCCAGGTATGCTCACTTCTGAGCATGTCTGACTGGCATTACTTTCCCAGTGCACTGCACAGAAATCTTGGTCTCTGCTGGGGTAAAAACTTAAAGACATAGGAAGAAACTCGAGGATTGTCTCTTTGTGAGATTGGAGTAACACTTAGGCCTGGAAGGTATCTGTGTAGCTGTCCTGGCCACTCCTTGTGAGCAGGCAGACTCGCCAGGGACATGGCAGGGTAACAAAGGGTGGAAAATGAGAGGGTGAGTCTGGGAGGAGAGCCACAGTCTTCAAGGACGAGAGAAAGTGACATTTAGCTGGGGACCCTCCCACATCACTCCCAGCTGTCCTCAGCCACAGGAGGAGTGAAATTCAAAGTCTTCAAGAAACAGCCCAGTATGGAGAGCCCCATACCCTGCAGGGTACCTTTCTCTAGTGATCTTTCCAATGTCTCCATCTCTGAGAAAATGAATTCCTGGAAAGCTCACTTTAACTGGTCTCACATCAAAGAGAAAAGAGGTGACTTTGAATGTGCCAGGAAAGGAAAAGTTCCCAACAAAACAGGGTCTCCTTCCTGCTCCATCAGTGTCCCTGACATCAGGCCAACTTCCCCTTCAGCCAGATGCTGGAAGCCCAGAAAACCCCAACCCCCCCCCCCCCCAGCAATTCATTCAGGGAATGACCACAGCCCTGATAGCACCCACAGATGGAGAAACCTCCACAAAGCAGTTTCTCTCATTCGGAACACACTCCCCTTGTGGGGATATGAATTGTACATCAGTGAGAGAACAGCACTGATATACAATTGTCACAGCCTAAATAAATGGCATCCAGCAAAGGACAATTGGCCACCCAACCTGTCCCTTCTGCTCCTTGCTCCCTTCTCTTTCCCACAAGTCTCCAAGGCTGAACTGAGTGGGGGAGGGGTGTTCGGGGAAGGTGAAGGGGGAGGGCTGTGAACTTCCAGCTGTGTCCTCCACTTGCTCATCTGGCCTTTTCCTTTGTATTGAGAAAAAATCCAGGCCCTAAGACTTCACCAAGCATGGGACACTAGCACCTCTGGCTCTTAGTTTCTGAGCTGCTGGGGACCACTGTAGGTACAGGAGACAACATGGCCTCTGAGGTTTGCCACCAAGGCAGCTAGCTGCTTTTGTGAGGATCACAGGCCCCTTTGCCTCTCATTCCTGTCAGAAATGGAACTGATCTAGAAAGACAGCAGGAAAGACAGCCCAGCTTTCTTCCCAGGCAGGTGCAGCCAGAAGAGTCCTGGGGAGGGGGGGGTGGGGGGTGGGGGTGGTGGAGAGAAAGTCAACAAGTTGGGTCACATGTCTGCCAGTGGCTTTGTCCCACGGAGGGACTGTTTTTAGATGTCTATCTTGGTATAGCTACTGGGAACTGATTGCAGAAGTTGGAGGTGAAGCCATCTCTCCACCCGGGCAGGTTCTAGTAAGTAGGACTCATCCAGGTAGGACCCAGGTAACTCAGAGTGACAGGTGGCCTTTAGCTATGTGCACCCAACGTTTGAGTTTCCCAGACAGAAAACCAAATGCCACCTGGAACCAAGTACTCGCCCATCTGCCACTGAGGGAAGCTAGTTAGTGCAGTACTGCAGACTGGGGTGTCGAGAGACACACACTACTGCTTGAACTTTGGAATCTAAGACCAAGGTTCTGGTTGATCAGCATGTGGTGAGGACATTCTCCCTGGCTTGCCAATGCCCATGTCTCATTAACCTTCCAGCGCTCATGTGTGGAGAGGGACAGAGATGAGGTGGGAGGAGAGCCACTCCAATCTCTTCTTATCGAGCCACAATGCCCACCTGACCCTGGGAACCCCTTTCCAACCCCATTGAATTTTAATCGCTGCCTTGGGGGCTCAGTCTCCAAATACAGTCATGCTGAGTGTTAGGACATGGGAATCTGGGTAGGGGAATTCTGCCCACCTCACGTGTGGGCTGGATCATGCCTACCTTCGAACGCAAGCAGAAAACAACACAGACCTCAAGCCAGAGCTTGGGTTTGTTCTGTATACTTACAAAGGCTTAAGTGTCATGTCCTCTGTCCCCATACCCTGTTTTCATGCCCCTGGGACTCAGTCACCAGTTTGAAAAACACTAGTTCCAGGTCAGACTGCAAATGGCCCTCAGGTACTGTGCTTGGTTGATCACGGCAGCTCCAGGGGGCGGGTGGATGATCCCCACTTTCTACAGTGAAAGCTGAAGCAGGAAGGGGTGGCAGCAAAGCCTGGCTGCTAAGTGGCAGGATTGGAATTTGATCTTAATCAATGTCACTTTCTCATTCCAACAACACACTCCCAGTGTGAAGCCTGTGACAGACAGAGATGAAAAAAGACAGACCCGGAGCTGAGCTGGCAAGGAAATCTCAGCTCAGGGAGAGGCTCAACGCAAGCAGGGAAGTGAGGTGGGGGAATGTATAGAGACTGATGTAAGGTTTGGGAAGAAAGCATCCTGAGAAATGTCCAAGAGCAAGAGTTGGCTGGGCAAAAGAGTGGGAGATGGGGCAGGGTCTATGGGGATGACAAGGTGGTAGGAACTGGTCCCGGTTTGAGCAGTGATCCATGGAGAGCCCTGTAATGCTGAAGCCTGAGGCAAAAGTCCAGGGTCTTGCCAGAGGAGGCCAGAGAGGCAAGCAGGGCCTTCTGTGTGCCATCACAGTGAGAGATATGTTCTAAGCACATCACAGTTCTAGAGGCACCATTGGCAGCCAGAGTGCGGATTTTAAAGGGAACTGACCAGAAAGCTTCTGAAAAGATCAGGAGAGAAAGGGCAAGGTCTAGACCAATAAGGGGCAGTGGGCAGATCAGGCTCAGGATCAGGAAAGGGCCTGGTGGAGGAGAGATGGCCAAGACTGAGATATGAAGGGATGCGGTCACAGAGAGACCAAAAAATGGAGGGTGTTCCCTCACCACTGATGTAAGCCATAGGGGTTTCCCCAGAGCAGGAACAGCAGATGCCAGTAAGGCAGGGCCAACTGCAGGCCATGCAGATGTCTGCTCCAACCCCCCACCCCCACCCCAAGCTTAACTGCAAAGCCTTGGGCAACATCTCATGCTCATCCCTATGCCAGAGACAGAGCTGCTGAGGGAGCCCCAAAGAGAGATCACACAGAGCAGTGTGCACAATGTCTGGCACTCTGGTGACAGACACCACACCGCTATTTATATCAGACACAGAGATGTGTTTCTTCCTTGGGATGTTAACACATTCTTCAGGGCCCATCCTGAGAGAATGTCCCCATCCTGAGCCTATCTATAAACATTCCTGATCCCTCTAACTCCAGAGCGTGTCTGAGGGGACCTCTTGGCTTTCAGTAACAGACTATTGGTTCACAGAGCGTTGCCCAGCTTCCTGGCTGAGTCAGGAGCCCTGTCCTTGTCCTCAGCTGCTGGTTCACTGGGAACCACTTCTTATGCCTCCTCTCTGGGACAGAGGTCCTCCAACCAGGGCAGCGTGGCTACTCCCTCACTAGTTGCCTAAACAGGGCGAGCATGGGGAGCTTGGCAAGCGAGTACTCACTGAGCACAAGTTGCCAAGTTTGCCTGGGGCTGATGACTTAAGTACGAGTTTCAGTTTATTCCTCCAGTGGCCGACCAAAGGTGGATTTTTAAACTGATAAACACACCTGTGTTTAGCACAGAAGGGGAATTCGCCCAGCTCCCTAGTCCTGGTTGGAGAACAGTAAGTTTTATGGGCAAAAGAGCTTATTGACATCTTTCAGGAAGCAGCTTCTGCTTGTGTGGAAGGCACACTGTCTGTCTCATTGAGCCCTTCGCTCCTGAAGGTAGGTAGTATTACCCCCATTTTACAGAGAGACAGACAGACACTCTAAGTCCAGTCTGTGGAGTGCCTATCTGTCTTTGAGCCCAGGAAAGTGACTAATGTGTATCCTAGGAACTAGGAAGGTTGGTGTGATGAATGCCTAAAAATAGGCATTTTCCTTTTACATTTTCCCACCCTTAGAACAGGTATTATGAGGCAGGTACACAGCTGAAAGGGAAAAAAATCAGCAAGGTAACTCAGTTCCTAGTGAAATGTCATTTCTCCCCTTCATCCTGACATCAACGAAGCCCACAGAGGATGAAGACAGACAGACAGACAGACAGACAGACAGACAGACAGACAGACAGACACAGAGAGAAAATAAAGGGAGGAAGGGGAGACAAAGGGCAAGGCAAGACCGGGGCCATAGTGATTTCCCCTCCACACAGGCTGCAGCCCCAGTGGGTTTGGGGGTGCTGAGCTCCCTGCTGTAAAATCAAGGGCAAGCTGGAGGGGTGCGTCTTCTCTTTTAAATAAGCCCTTGTTCTGACAGTATCTCATCCCCTGTTTCCTGCTACAGAAAGGGCCATCCAAGGAAAGCTGGACTTCTGATGCCTCCGTGAGCAGAGTGCTTAGGCCCACCCAGGCCCAAGTAAGACTACTGACACTGCTGCCGCAGCCTCCTCCTCCTCCTCCTCTTCCTTCTTCTCTTCCTCTTCCTCACCTTTCCACTCTATCTCCTGGCTCCCTTGCCCTCTGGCTCCCTCCTCCCCTACCCCCTACTCTCTTCTTCCTTCCCTTCCTCCAGGGCACCCCCAGGCCCCCAGGAGGCCGGGGCATCCAGCAAAGCCGATCTCTGTGAAATGTTATCAGAGGAAACACTTGAGAACAAGTAGCTACACCTGCTGTCACCGGCTTCCTAGGCCCCCAACCTCCATGCAGGTGTCTCCATGGGAAGAAAGGACTCATTCAGGACTGTGGCTGGTAGTTTTTCAGCCAAGTTCCTCAGATATGGCAGAAAGGAAGGACGGGAGGAGGGAGCAGAGCCCTCCCAGGTGCCTCAGGATCAGAGCAGGCCACCTAATGTCATCTATGGTGGCCCTGGGAAAGATGGATGGATGCTCTGTAGCTTACGTGATCACCTGTGCCCTGGGTCACTAAGACTAGAACTGACTCCCAGGGCTTCATGAAGACAATGGGATCTGATGCCTTGAGCCACAAACATAGTGTATGACTCTGCAGAGAGAGAGAGAGAGAGAGAGAGGAAGAGAGAGAGAGAGAGAGATCGTGAGCCCACTAAACCCCGAGAGTTCGCTTATCCCAGGGATATTCTACTACTGTGGCATCCTCCCCCTCATCACCCCGACCTACACACTGCATTCCAGAAGACCCTGAGCCAGCAGGCTTCTTCATGTCTCTCTCCCTGGGACATCAGCCGAACACCTGTCCGCCCACACGCAGGCACTGCACCTGGCCACCTGGCCTGCAGAAAGCCTCTGGGGCCTTTTCCCACGGATTCTGACCAACTTCTGCCCCCACATCGCTCTGCCTCGTCACGCTCGGGCATCAACCTTTAATGGTCATTCTCCCCCCCCAACCCCCAAAGACTTGAAGTTCTCTCAGGCCCACAGCCTGGTTATTCATGCTTGCTAACATCAGCTACTTCTAATAAATGCTCGATAAATGCTCACTGAGCAAACACCCTTACATACAGTTCATCCCACTGCTAAAGGTAGGAGCCCAAGTTAGGAGGGAAACCTGTCTTCAAGATGTCCAGAGCTTGTAAAGCAATAGGCCTGGAATTTCAAGTTCACTTGAGTTCTGACCCACCTCATGATCTTCTTCCAAGTAGTGGACACCCCTTGGGAATAGTCAACGCAATGGTTGTTCAAGTGTGCGATGGACCACAAAGCTCACGTGTGGGAATCTGGAACTGTCTACAGTAAAAAGGACACACTGGGTGCTGGGATGTGTTTACTCCTGCGTCTTTTCATCTGCATGGGACTCGCATAGATCATGTGACTGGGAGGCAGGCTGGTAAGCATGAAAGAGACTGCTGTCAAAGACTTGGGGGGGAAGCTGGGTGTTCAGAGTTCACATGTGTTCATTGACTTCTACGCATCCAGTGTCTGCTCCCAGCACAAGTAGCTAAATGTCTCATCACCCTGCCCTGCAACAGACCGTTCCAGACAGGACTCATCTCTGAGGAAATAAGAGGTCATAAGGGGACACAAGAACCAGGAGTGGGGGATGGGATTAGTTGCCAGTTGTGTGACCCTAGACAAGGCTCTGAAGTCCCCAGGGCTGGGTAGCAAGGGCTTAGTGATCCCCTGCTAAAATATACATGAAGCCATTTAACCATAGTCAGTCCATAGGATCCTCCTGGGGCGGGGAGTGACCCTGTCTCCACAGTGCAGCCCCTTGCCCTGGGGCCAGTCAGACCACATCAATGACATCCTGAAGCCTGCCCCTTTGTACTGCTAATGGCCAGTGCGAGCAGACCTGCCTGCCACACCAGGCCCCCATGAAGAGCCTCAATCAGCATGGGAGAGTATTCACAGCACAGAAAGGGGAAATGCTGACAAGCAGAGCTTTTTGTTTCGGGGGCAGAAGTGATATCTGTAGTTAACCATTCACCACATTCCGCTGCAGCCATGGGTAACCAGGCAGAACCATCCCATCCTCCACCTGCCCTGCCCCACCCTTGCCTTCTCTTTGTACCAGGAAGTCCTGCGAGGACCTGGAGAGCCCCAGGTAGATATGTCCTAGTGATGACTGCAGGACCAGAACACTGCATCCTGTCTGTATCTGGGGTCTCTAAGCAGCACACCTAACCTTATCACATCTGTTGGTTCCCTGCCACTCCTTTTAATGTGTGTGTGTGTGTGTGTGTGTGTGTGTGTGTGTGTGTGATAGAAGTTGATATCAGATGCCTTCCTCTATTGCTCTCCACATTATTTTTGAGACAAAGTCTTGTCACCAAACCTGTTGTTCATGATTGCCTAGAGTGACTAGCCAGCATGCCCCAATGATCCTCCTAGCATTCTGCCTCTCTAGTGCTGGGATTACAGAGGGTCACACGCCCAGCTTTTTATGAGGCATCGGGGATCCGAACATTGATCCTCGTGCTTGTTTGACAGGCACTTCACTGACTGAGCCATCTTCCCTGATTATTAATGCTAACCAAGAACCCAGTGTAAAGGAGTTGTTCCGCAAATGTTCACTGAGCAAACACCCTTCGCTGCATTCCATTCCGCTGCTACAGACAGAACACCAAGGCTGGGAAGAAGCCACCAAGTTTCTAAGTGGCAGGTAGCCACTGGAGCTCAGATGGTATTTCAGTGAACTTCCAGGATCATTGTGAGTGCTTGCCCTCTCTGTGTTCTCCCAAAAGACAGTGGCCATATTTGGGGGTAGTCGAGACAATAGGCTAGGCCTTGGTAATAGAAACATCTATGTCAGAGCTTTGGGTCAGGTACACCGGACACAGCTGTTTGTGCAGCACCCGCCCCCTGCCTTACACTTATGGTCACCAAGCTCCCCCCATGTCTCCCCTCCTCCTTGCTCCTTTGATCCTTATGAACTCTCAGAGAAAGTGCCCAGTGAAGGGTTCTTGAGGCCAAGCAAATCCAGGAACAAAGACCTACTCCTCCAGGGAAGTACTTCTGAGACTTTAGACCATCCTAAGTATGAGAAGTTGCCTGTAGCCAGAGAGCCCTCTCTGGCTTATCACATGTCCTTATCCCACAGTTGGGCAACCGGAACTTTTCAAAGCCACTTATCTGAAGGACATAGAGCTGGGGCTAAAAGCTCCCAGTGTCAAATCTGAAACTGGAAACCATGGTCACTTTCCATCGTGGGCCTATCCTATTCTATCAAAGAATGTGTCCCTGAGTCAAATTTCTCTTGAAGAACTTCTCTTGGGCAAGTCTGCTTTAGCCACCAGCCAGCTGCCATCCCGTGTGCTGGGTTCCCTGGAATAGCCCACCTGTGGTTTTCTTCATGTGATAGGAGAGTTGGAAGGTATTCCCCAAGCTTCCCTTTAGAAAAGGTTTCGGATAATAATTAGCTTTCACAAAATAAGTGTCTATATAAGGTGGTGGTCAGGTGGATGCTCTCTGTCTAGAATGCCTAACAGCGGCTGTCACTGTGCAATGGTACTCATCTTCCAGGCCTGAGTGGCAATGCAGATATCAGTTCTCTAGAGATGAGGATTCAAAGCCAAGCCATTCTCCATCTCTGCCCTAGGCTGGTTGGAGGGCTTAGAAACTGTTCTCCCAATTATAAGACTTAGACCCTTCCAGGTACAGCAATTCCCGAGGCCTGGCCTGGATTGTTCTCCTTTGGTCCCTCTATTGATTTTGTAAATAAATTCCCTGCAGTGGAGACTTTGCTGACTAACATATACCTGGAGTGGTTTCTTTTTTCTTCCACAGTGAGCTCTGCCTGCTACATCAACTCTAAGGTCATCAGATGCAGACAACTTGCTATATGAAAAAACCCGAGTCTCTTTATTCAAACACTTTCCTAGATTCTACAACAAGGTCTTACTCCTAACAGGGGGTGCTGATGCTCTCCTTCACTAGCTTCTCATCAGGGAATACCTAGAGCTAGGCTGTGCTGGGTTGCCTCATACACACAATAGGTTCATCAAATTCACGCTACAGTTTGATCCTCTGTTGAGGAATGTCTTAGGGGTCTATAAGCTAATATGTACCCCAGCTTCGGTTGACAAAAAATTGGGGTGCCACTCTCCCTCTACAAAATCATGTGACATAACTTCAAAGATAGAACAAGGCCCAGAGACTTCTGTCCTTGACCCATAGAGCAAGTCCTCAAGTCTAGCCAAGACATTTCCCTCCTCGGGGTCACTGCAGGTCACTTGCTGAGTCAGGAAAGAGGCAGAAACAGTGCTGACCAGGACAAGTAAAGAACCAGGACCTCTTTGAATACTATCCAGGTTTGCAGGGGTCCACGGGCCTCTCCATCAGGGCCTACCGTACATAGTGAGATCACCCTTGGAGCAGGGGATAGGGTGGGGGGGGGAGTGAAATTACATGTCTCTCTGCTCTTCTGACTTCGTCCCCCCGTCATCTGACTCAGGGGCTAATTTCAGATCATCTTCCCATTTCTGCCTCGCGCTGTGTCGTCAGAGACACATGCCTGGTCAGCTGGCAGAATTAGAAGCGTATGTCAGTATGTCAGCCTCAATAACAGAACACATGGGGGTTTCCTGAAGACTTCCTTTCAACACCACTTTCTAGATGAGGCAGCATGAAAGCAGCGACTGCTCAGTGAGCAAATGTTAGAGAGTTGTCTTCTTTCCTCCATCAGACTCCCCAGTTTTCTGCTTCACCCCTCCCCCATTCACTCCCACCCCCAGTGGCCTCCACAAGCCATGTTCACATGCTCAGCCTGACCCAGGCTCTAGGATATACCTAGAGAGCAAAGAAGAGATCCCCTCAACTCCAATGCCAGCCCCAAATTATCCCAGTTTGCTGCCCACACATCTACAAGCTCAGCCACAAGACCTGTGCTCCTACACACAGGATCCCAGGACCCCCTAGACACCCCCTCCTGAGTGCACTCCCTTAACCTGGATGTTACACATCCCCCATTTTGCCATGCTGAAGTTTGTCTGTCTGTCTTTCTTTAAATTAACCAACTTTCCTTTTTTGTCATTGAAAGAATCAGATAACTACATAGTAACAAGAACATCAGCCCACAAAGATTATATAATAAAAACACAAACCAGTGTTTTTTCCCAGAGCCCCACATCCTAGGCAACTGCTACCCAGAGTCCCCAGGTCCCCTTCCCAACGAATCCTCTGGATGCGCAAGCTGATCACAGGCTAACTGAGCCACTTTTTACAACCTCTCTCCCCTGACGATGACAGCTACATTCTCGCTCTCCTGGCTTTTCCTTACACCATGGGATCTATCTTGCCAAAGAGGCATATAGATACCTTAGACTTTATAAGGGAGACTAGATGTCAGACTTTGGTTTCCTTCTCCAGTGGGGGAGGAGAAGGAAGGGAAAGAAAGACGAAGGGGAAGGAGCAGGGATAGAGAAGGAGAGACTGGCCAGGCCTGCCCCTTTCCTTATACTTGGGTGTGATTGTGTGATTTTGGGTTACAGTAGCCATTTTAGGACAATGAGGGGAAAATGAAATGAGGGAAAACAGAACAAAACAAAGAAAAACAAACAAATCATGTTTCATGGACAGCAGAAGAGCCTGAACCTTTGACGATCCTGTCAAATAGCAAACCTCTACCTGACTGCCCACCTCCAGACAGTTTGCAGAAGGAAACCCAATCTTTATGTTTCCTGTCAGTCACTGCTCATGGGTTTTCTGTTAGCCTACATGCTGACTACACTGGTTTGAATGAGGCTATCCCCCACAGGTTTCGTGTTGTACACTTGGTCCCCAGTTGGTGGCGCTGTTTGGGAAGGCTTAGGACGTGTAGCATTGCTGGAGGAAGTATGTCACTGGAGGCTGGCTTGGAGAGTTTGAAGATGTGTGCCATTTCTAGGCCACTCTCTCTGCTTTGTGTCAGTGATTCAAAATGTAAACTCTCAGCTTCCTGCTTCAGCCACCATACCTGCCATTCCCCTGCCTCTTATCCCGCTGGAACCTTGAGCCCAAATAAACCCTATCCTCTCTAAGTTGCCTTCCTCAATTTATCACAGTAATAGAAAAGTAACACTATGGTGGCCCAAGGATGATTATAATATAACGTATGTGTGGATTCCCTTTTCTAAATGGGGCTTTATTCACTCATCAGTGTGACCTTCAAGTATTTTCTACATAAGCCTAGACAACTCTGTTGTCCATCCTCAGAGTATCCCACTATGCAGCTGTCTATCCTAAAGCAAACGGGTGAGCATTTTTACTGGGTCCTTGCAGTGTTGACCTACCACAGAGCAACAGACTTCTCTATGTCTGCGTCTACATGCTGTGTGTACTGCCTAAAACAGAGGGAGGCCAGGACCATGCTCTTTCATCTGTCCATACCCCTTACTGTTTACTGAACAGCGGAGTCCCCCCTGACTGTCCTGGGAGGAATGTGTCTTCGAGCTCATGATCTGAGTCCCCTTTTCCTCCACTCAACCGCATGCCTGACTGAGTCCTGAGACACCCTATGCTTCTGCCCAAGCCTTGGCATTCCCTAACCTGGATCCCAGCTAGACTAAGTGGTTTTTAGCTTCTTTCTCCAGAACAGAGCCCCATGCTTGCTCTGCTCAGGCCTGCTCTAGCCCTCTCCACCTGAACACCCAGGTACGCTCCCCTGCGTGCCCCCTCATCCCATTCCCAGAACCTGCCCCTTCCTGCTCTGCTGGAACTGGCTTCCATCACACTGAAGGAGACCTGGACCATGACAATTCCCACAGGAAACAATAGCCCCCACCACATGCCACCACTGTCAGACAGTCTCTGGCTTCTGGTTTCAGTACCTGTAACCAAGCTGGAAAATTCACACCAGAAAACTAAACTCACACCCTAACCTAAATCCCACTTAGTGACAGAAGTTGACGTGTGCCACTGTTGGGAGGGGAGGCGCACATGAGAGACAGATGTTTAATAGCAGTGGGCAAAGGTGTGGATTTGCCTACCCACAAAGGCAAGGAGTTAACACGCCATCAGATCAGCCTGCCTTTTCACCACCGGGCCTGTGCTCAGGCAGCCTGGTTATGCAAAAAGCCTCAGCTCCTGGCAAAGGGCATTGTCTCCAAAGGTCAGTTTCAGGGTATAGTTCTCTCTCCTAGGGAGAATGATATCGTTCCTACTTGCAGAATCACAAAGCTGATTCTAGCCTGTGGCCCCTTCCCAGCTGTCTCAGTTCTTCACTCACCCCTCTGGGCACCCATGCCTGGGCCTGCATAGAGCACCAGGAAAGAGGCTTCAAAGCCGAACTGGTCCAGTGTAGGTCACAAATGATCAAAAAGTTACCCAGTCACTTAATCTTGGAACCAGAAACAGGTGGATCCCTAGGGCTCGTTGGACACCCAGCATAATCTACTGGATGAATTCCAGGCGATGTTAAGAGACCCTGTTTTTAAAAAACAAGGTAGATGACTCATGAGAAATGACACTAAAGGTTGATCTCTGACCTACACACATACACACACACACACACATGCACACACACATACACACACCAGAGGCTGTTCCTGAATGCACAGCTGGGGAAGGACAGAGGCAGAGTACAAACTTGGCTACTTGCCTCCGCCTCCTCCGGTACCCCGTGACACTACTGTTAGGACAAGAGTGAAGACTGTGGGTCTGAGAGGAAGAGAGAGGTGTTTGGGAACGGGATGGGTAATGCTGAAAATGCAAATAAAAGGCCCAAGCAGGTGTTCAGCAAAAGTGCCTTTCCTTTCACTGAGGAAGTGCTCAGAAAGAGAAAGGGCCAAGACCTCAGCAGGATCCAAAACCCCAAATCTGTAACAATAAGAGCAGTGCATAGTGTGAGGACTGTATTCTAGCCCAGAGTATAAAATAAACACCTATGAACCCATGTCCACGGGTAGAAACTATTGAGTAAGTCCACAATGGGGAGCAGAGACTATGTGACTGTCCATATGTTTCAGGTGGATTTGCTCTTCCCTCCAAGGGATGGAGACTGGCCACGCCTACCTCCAGCTCAGCATTACTTGACCTCCGAAGAACAGATGGAAGGATGGTTGTGCTACAGGGGAGCCCTGGACTGTGGGGAAATCTGATGAACAGCCTCAGCTAAGAGACAGAGATCCACACCAACAGCGATAGGTCACTGGGAAGGTGTGTACTCCCATGGTGACAGGTACCATGAAGGTATGTGATCCCATCAGGCTGCAGTGAAGACTTCTCTCCAAACACAGGCTCCCACTCTGACTGTAAGAAAAATACCTGATCAGTGCTCCCCCAAACTGTTGCATCATCCAGGAGGACAAAGAATGTCTGAGAAACTGTCACAGGGCAGGTGATGATACAACCAGTGAGAGGAGATGTTGGGACAGAAGGAATGCTCAGGGGAAAATGAGTGAGGTTGAAATAGACTGCCAGATGTAGCTGTGGGCTCCTTGATGACAGACGTGCTTCAGTGAGGGGCCGGAGTGGTAGAGGGTTCCTATCCATTCCTACCCATCCTCCCTCTCATTCTGTAGCTGTGTAGCTATTTTGAGAAAGGGGGTTCTGGTAAATAAACATCCAGAATAACAACGTCTCACTCTTACCAGGGAGTGGCTGTCTAAGTCTCTGAGATACCTTGAGCCTGGACCTCAGTGTCAGGATGCTAGAAGGATCCTCGAGTCAAAGGGAATCAGGAAGAGCTCTAGAAGTCTCAGTAGGATGCCAGCGTGCTGACCTAAACAGCCACTGACTCCCTGCCTACTAACCCCAGGCATCTCTATCTAGCCACTGG